ACAAATAAAGGTTTTCTTATCTTTATCTTAATACGAAATTTAAAAATAAAAAATCTAGGGAAAGATATGTCCAAAGTGTTTACTTTAATATTCTCTATACATAATAAGATACCTTATACTCTGTTCTTATTTGATTTTCTCATTCTATAATCAGTCAGAGAAAAGAACTGGGATGTAGTATTTTATTTAATTCTATTTCCCTTCTGGTGACGTTCAGATTTTTGAAAAAATCCTGAATAGTTTAAGGCACTGTTTTGGTTTAAATAAACAAAAGACAGACTTAAAAATGAATCTGTTAAATACTTTTGAAAGCAGTCTTGCTTTAACATATTGATGCTGTCTGATCCTCCAGGTTCCTTCAGCATTAAATGCGGTCGCCAGTATCCTCCAAGTCATGGTGGAATGTGTGGACTTCTCGCCGTACACTCCTCAGTTTCAGCAAAAGCTGAAGTGTAAGAGAACTTAAGCTACCCTTTCTTTAGTATTTACACTAAGATTAAATAGAGAACTAACCATTCCCACTCTTGTTTCTTCCAGCTCCTCACACTCCAGTAAACTGGATGAAGAAGAGGAATAAAGTCCTGGGGAATTTATCCACCTTCCAGTCCCTGCTGGTACAGTGTCTAGAGGTTTATCTGGAGGGACCCGAGGCTTCTTCTGAAGCCACAGGATTGGCCCTGGTCTCCATCCTGTCTGCTCTCTTCACCAACCTTGCTCTCGCAAACACCGTGAAGGAAGCCCTGACATCTCTGATTCAACCTCTCACCCTCTTCTATAAGCAGGCAGCCAATGAGCTGCCCAAATTCACCTCTCAGCTTCTTGGAAAAGTGGGTTCCTTGTCCAATGGGTACACATTTTTTAATAATTTTACTTTTTTAATGAATCAATAACTTTCTGCCGTTTTTCCCTCCTGCAGCTGGAGAAGCTTGTCAGCGATGTTCTGGGCTGCCTGCAGACCCGCTCTGCATTGGCGTACAATGATGAGCTCCTGACGCTGCTGTCTCCTCTACTTTGTGTGTTGTTTCCTCACAAAAACAAGCAGCTCCGCACGTCAGTCGTCCAGTTCTGGAACTCCACCTTTGCCAACTCAATCAGCCTCACTTACCCCGACGAGATTAGGTAAAAAACTGACTTTGTTAGTCTTTTTAACAATCTCTGGTTTGGTTGAAGTAAATCTTTAATTCACAGACGTAGATTGGGGGGGGAAACTGTAGATTCAGTAACTCTACTCAGCTGTACAGGGAGCAGACTGGTTATGTACCACAGAGAGGCTGCGACAGCAACACAGGCAGAAGCAGTACTCCATTATTGCCAATAGTTGTTTGGTGCTATATTCATGTTTTTAAATCTTATATATCACCTTTTTAATGTCATGTTCACATTATTGGGTAAGAGGAAAAGGCCAAATGAATGTGTATTCATGTTGAAGACTGCACCTTACAGGTTCATCACAGTAGTACAAGGTTAAATGAGAGAATTTCATTGAAATTTTGTTGGCAGTGGTTTCTTCATGATAACATACCACTATAATCAGAATGCAACAATAGAAAAGTTTTTGTTTTTATGACAAACCAAACAATACAATGATTTAGATCCATTTTCTTACAACAATCTTGTCAATGTTGACATTCTCTTTACATAGACCAATATTGAGCCAAGTGAAGCAGAAGACCCCAATCATTCTTCCTGGCTTTGAGGTTGTCAGTGTTCCTGATGAGCTCAGTGGACAGTATTCAGTGAGTTGCAATGCTTTTTCATGATTTCAGCTCTCCATGTTGTCGTTATTTGTGACTAATCTTGTTTTTGTGTTCAGAGTGAGAGTTCCCAGTTGGAGACCAAGCTCAGTGGGATGCCGGTTTCATCTGTGGGAAAAAGGGACTCGCTGCTGGGAAGGACTGCTGAGATTAAGGACAGGAGCGCCATCAAGACCTCCATGAAGATGTCAAAACCAGTTTCTGTAAGTCAAGACTCACACCAGACCATATTTCATGAAGGACGAGTCATTTTGTCCATACTAAATGTCTGTCTCAACAGCTTCAGAGAGTATGGTGTTTGATATTTTCATTATCATTCCTGTTGTGACTGATAATGACTGGAAAGCAATTGAAATGAAACGCTCGGTGACCAATTGGCCTTGCAGTTCAAGACTCTGCCATACGGTTGCAGCGTCTCTGGGTCGAGTTTGACCAGAAGTCTTTGTTGGATCCCCCCCCACATTTCCTGTCGGCTCTTGGTCAATTTCTTGTTTATGTAACATTTTTAGATAAGAGAAAGTTGTTTGTAACCATGCGATGACAGAGTTACAGCTACTATATTCTACTCAGACCTCTTTGGGGTTTCCATTTTGTTTTTTGATTGCTCATCATCCCACCGTTGCACAACTGGTCTCCATTGTGTTCCCTTCATCAGACAAAGTTGGACTTTGGCTCTCCCAAGCCTCCTCGCAGAGAGGTTTTGGAGGAAGAGGCCTCCATCGACTTTGTTTTTATTCCTCCTGAGGCGAAGGAGAGAGTTCTGACAGAGCACCAGAAGGAGGTGAAAAGGACTAAAAGGTCAGACTTTTTTTTTTGTCTTCCAAATTACATTTTCTACACATCCACGTTCAGTCTCCTGTAACAATGTTTTCTTTGGCACAGGGTGGACATCCCAGCTATGTACAACAACCTTGATGCTTCTCTGGATACAACAGTTTTCACCCAGTACACACAGAGCCAAGAAGACTCTTTGTAAGTTCTGAGCACCTGCTACCAGAATCAGGATAAATCCCTGCTCTTTCATACAAACAGAAAAAACAGCATACATATAACAAACTGTTGTTTTTCTCACAGGGACAAACTGCCAACTGAACAAGCTGACAAGGTTACCAAAGAGGTTCCTGGCAAGGTAATGAAACACATCTCCGTCAGGGGCAAAAAGAGAAATCAACATTGCCAGGAAGAACACCACTTGGGGCTTGTTTTGTCCTGTTTTCATTCAGCTAAATCGAGTATGAATAAAACAAAAACTGCTTGTATATTGTTACTTGCAGTGCTTTATACCACTGCACATGTATTTTAGGACTAACTGCATCTGGAGTTTCAGTGTTAAGTTAATTAATGCCAAGATCTCAAGGTTAAAAAGACATAATTAGGAGCATTAATTTAAGCAGTGGCAGGATTGTGTTTTCTCCTCAGGATCAGACATTTGTCAGTATAGCACAATCTAATAGTCCTAGACCGGACTGCAAACTCAAATGACTTTTTCAGATAAAGTTGTACCCTTTGTTGATTTTTGGTATAAATTTTAAAAAAAAAAAAAAAAAAAGAAACACTGGTTACAAGTCATGCTTTTTCTCAAAAAATAAAAACTACTTCGACAAGTGCTCATTACTACCCACCTCTGTTCACCACACCCAACATCAAGTGTGGTCAGCAGTGTGGTGTGCTGCACCTGTGACCCAAAAACATTGCCACATGACACATATGATCGCACATATCTAAGGAACTCTAAGCTGCTAGGACAAAAACAGCTCTGTGAGCTGAGTAGGTCTGTTAATGAAAGATTAGCTATAAATATTCCTGTCATGACAGATAGGTAACTGCATGTACACACACTCTCTGTCACAGGAACAGTGACCATTACCAACCCAGATTTACATTACTATGTAGCAGTGTGTCAGACGCAGACGGACAGAATTATGGGAGATGGAAGAAATGTAGGGTGCAATGTAAATGGTAAATGGACCTGTACTTGTATAGCACCTTTCTAGTCTTCCAACCACTCAAAGTGCTTTCACACACATTCAGTCAAATTCCATCAAACAGAAACTAACTAATTCATATACAGCATCGGGAGCAATTCGGGGTTCGCTATCTTGCTCAAGGACACTTCGACACGTGGCGGGAGGAGCCAGTGATTGAACCAACAACCTTCCGATTAGTGGACAACCCACTCTACCTCTGAGCCACAGTTGCCCCATTCTGCCATTCTGTTCACAATTTAATCTAATAGGTAGATTGTCATGAAGTGTACGTTAAAGGACCAGTGTGTAGGATATAGTGGCATCTAGTGGTGAGATTGCAGATTGCAACAAATAGAAACCCTTTTACTCAGGAGAAACTATGGTGGCTGCAAACTTGCAAAAAGTTTAAGGAGTCCATAGAAGAGGATCAGCTCCCTCTGTATGAGAAAAAAACTCATTCTAAGGTAGCACAAAAACACAATGATTATTATTTTCAGGTACATTATACACTAATGAAAACATACATACTGACAATAGATCATCCTCTATGCAATTATCTTTAGTTCTATTATTGATGATTAGACGATGATCGCCTGTGGTTGAAGGAATGAGTAGAACAGGCAGGAAGAATCAACATCAGTCTTTAAAGTCTTTGACCTCAAAGTCCTGTCATTTTTTTTGTTAGTTGAAAGTAACAATTAATCATCCAAAATGAAGACAACACCATCGTGACTGGGGCGTTGTGATTTGGTCTCTGAATTGTGAGTCAGGAAGTAGAACAACATAAAGATGGCAGAGTTTAAAGTAACTGTAAAAGAACAGGCCACAACAATCTGCAACGGAAACGCTGCACTTAAGAATCTACAGACATGCTAGTGGAATTTTGAGGCTGTACTTACATTTCCATATACAAAGACAGACGA